CTGCTACCTACAGAGACCCTGAGCGAGGTGGGCCACCCATCGTCCAGCATGGGGCCGTGCTCGGGATGCTCCAGCTCGTAGTCGATGGAGAACGTCACCGGCTTCACGTAATCCGCCGTGTCCTGCGGCACACGGAGAACGTGGAGAGGAGCCCGGGGCCACCCGGGCTGGGGCAGCACCTCGGGGTGGCCCTCAAAGGCCACAGATCCATCCTGCAGCCCCAGCCCAGGGCTGGGATGCAACAAAAACCAGATCCCATCTCCAAGTGTGCTCCAAGCCCCATCCATCCTGGCCTTGGACACTTCCAGAGGTCCAGCAGCAGCCAGAGCTCCTCTGGGAATTCCATCCCAGACAGGAATTCCTCTCCGGTATCCCACCTAACCCTGCCCTCTGGAAGCCCCTTGGAGCTCCTCCCCTGCCTTGCCCCGAGGTGCAGAGGGATGCTCTGATGTTTTTTTGGGCTAAATCACGAGCTCCAGCTCCGTCTCCAGCCTCAAATTTCCCAAAAGTTCACGGCAGTTCAGCCGGGGCTTGGGGCTGGGCCAGTCTGGCAGCGTGGGCCTGCCTGGCTTCCATGAGATTCTCCTCATTCCCTGGGAATGTTTGGTTTTGGCCAGGTTTGTGCAGCAGCTGTTCCCCGCGAGCGAGGGATCCACCAGCTCCGCACCCAGGGGTGGGACCCTGCCGGGCCAGCGGGTGGCACGGGGACGCTCCATTCCTGATGGAAAACCAGCGAGCATTCCTGATTTTGGAGCAGGAAAAGCAGCCTGTCCCTGGGCTGAGGAGCACACGGAGCACATGGAAGCTCAATGATGTCACCGCCTGGGGACCCAGCAGCTGCCACGTGCCGGCAGCTCCGTCCCTGAGCACGTCGAACCGGCGGGCAGGAATCCAGCGGGACAAATCCGGCGGGATGAGGCTCATTCCCACTCTGGATGGTGCAGAGAACATCTGCTCCAGACTCACCAGGACGTGGAAGGGGAGCGTGTGGCAGAGCTCCTGGCCGGCGCGCAGCTCCAGCCCCCGCGGCGCCGCCCGCTCGCCGCCGTCGTCCAGGTGTGCCCGGGGCGAGTAGCGGCGCTCGTCGATGCTCGTGTTGTACCTGAGCCCTGCGGGGACACACACCCCAAACCCTGGGCAAAAAGTTGGCCCCAGTGCCCATTCCCTGCTAAGAACAATCCAGGGAAACCGAGGAGGTTCTGGGAAAAGTTCTCCTCTCTCTCCAAATGAGTTTTGGGAATGAATCTTTGCAAGGCCCTGTGTAAAATCTGTGCGGGCGTGGAATTGTTTGCCTCTCAAGAGTTCCCATGCTGGTCTGTGGGAATAAGAGCTCACCCCTCGCCAGGATGATTTATGGAGATCCTTTGGTTCCTGCACTGCTGTTTGAAAGAAACTGGAGATTCCCAGCCAAGCATGGATTTCAGAGAGCCACGGAATCTCAGACTGGTTTGGGAAGGGACCTCCAATCCCATCTCACTGCAGCTTCTGCCACGGCAAGGACACCTCCCACCATCCCACGCTGCTCCAGCCTGGCCTTGGGCACTTCCAGGGATCCAGGGGCAGCCACAGCTGCTCTGGGAATTCCATCCCAGCCCCGCCCCACCCTCACAGGGAACAATTCATTCCCAAAATCCCATCTGTCCCTCTTTCAGCTCAAAGCCATTCCCTGGCTCCTGTCCCTCCATCCCTTGTCCCCAGTCCCTCTCCAG